CCATTAATGAAATCATGGGGTACAATGTGCTGGTTGAATATAAATTTGAAATATTTTCATCAAACTGGTTAACAAAGCCTTCATGGCATGTTCTTAGTTATTGTGTTAAGACATTTATATTCTATACCTAGTAAATTTCACATGTACCCTTCTAGATGCACCATAGGTGTGGTGCAATCAATTACTCTCCCTCCACCCATCCTCCCCCTCCCCTCTCTATCCACTCCCTCTGCCCTTTACCCTTCTTGGGCTGTAATTATGTTATAGCTTTCATAACAAAGCTATAAATTTGTTTCATAGTAAGGCTGAATATATTGGATACATTTTCTTCCATTCTTGAGATACTTTGCTAAGAAGAATATGTTTCAACTCCATCCATGTAAACATGTAAGAGGTAAAGTCTCCATCTTTCTTTAAGGCTGTATAATATTCCATGGTATACACATACCACAATTTATTGATCTATTCATGGGTTGATGTTGCACTTGGGCTTCTTCCATGACTTAGCAGTTATAAATTGGACTGCAATAAACATTCTGGTAAAAATATCTTTGTTATAATGTGATTTTTAGTTTCTGGATATGTACCTAGTAGAGGAATTGTAAGACTGAATGGCAGGTCTATTTTTAGATCTCTAAGTGCTCTCCAAACATTGTTTCAAAATGAATGTATTAGTTTGCAATACCACCAGCAATGTAGAAGTGTTCCCTTTTCTCCACATCCATGCCAAAATCTCTGGTTTTGGGAATTTGTGATGTGGGCTAATCTTACAGGAGTTAGATGATACCACAAAGTAGTTTTGACGTGCATTTCTCTGATGATTAAAGATGATGAGAAGTTTTTCATGTGTCTGTAGGCCATGCGCCTATCTTCTTCAGACAATTTTCTCTTCAAGTCCCTTGCCCACCCTGAAATGTGATCACTTATTCTTTTCTTGCTAATATGTTTGAGTTCTCTGGACATTCTAGTTATTAAACCTTTGTTGGAGACATAACCTGCAAATATCTTCTCCCATTCTCAGGGCTGTCTGCTTGCTTTACTTACTGTGTTCTTGGCTGTGCAGAAGCTCCTTAGTTTGATAGGTCCCAGTAGTATATTTTTGATGCTGCTTCAATTGTCCAGGATGTCCCCCTCATAAAATATTCGCCCAGCCTGATTTCTACAACAATTTTCCCTACACTTTCTTCTAGTATTTTTATAGTTTCATGTCTTAAGTTAAATCTTTAACCCAATGAGAATCCAGCTTTGTTAATGATAAGAGGTGTGGCGTCCAGTTTCAGTCTTCTACAGGTTGCCAGCCAGTTCACCCAGTACCATTTTAAAAAAATTTTCCTCACAGAATGTTTTTAACTGGCTTCTCAAAGATTAAATAACGGTAAGTAGCTGGGTTCATCTCTTGGTTCTCCATTCTGTTCCTTACACCTACCTCTCTGTTTTTGTGACAGTACCATGCTGTTTTGACCACTATCAATTTATAGTATAGCCAGATCTGGTAGCATAATTCCTCCAGCTTTGTTTTTATTTCTGAGTAAGGTCTTGGCTATTTGAGTTTTTCTCTGATTCCACATAAAACAAAGTATTATTTTTTTGAGATCTTTAAAGTATGACAGTGGAGCTTTAATAGGGATTGCATTAAAATTGTATATTGCTTTGGGTAGTATGGACATTTTAACAATGTTGATTCTTCCATTCTTCCCAGCCATGAGATTGGTGTCTTTTCCATTTGTTAGCATCTTCAGCTATTTCTTTTCTTAGAGTTTCATAGTGCTCTTTATAGAGCTGTTTCACATCCCTTGTTAGGTAAACTCCGAAATATTTCATCTTCTTTGGCACTACTGTGAATGGAATAGAGTCCTGGACTGTCTTTTTAGCTTGACTATTTGTTGGTATATACAAAGACTACATATTCATGAGTGTTGATTTTGTCACCTGAGATGCTGTTATATTCCTTAATGACTTCTAAGAGTTTTTTAGTAGAATCCCTGCATTTATCCAGATATACAGTCATATGATCTATGAAGAGTGAAAATTTGGTCTCTTCTGACCCTATATGGATAGCCTTATCACCTTTTCTTCCCTAATTTCTATGGCTAAGACTTCCATTACAATCTTAAAAAGCAGTGGAGACAATGGGCAACCTTGCCTGGTTCCTGATGTGAGTGGAAATGATTTCAATTTAACTCCATTCAATACAATATTGTCTGTTTGTTGGCTGTAGATGGCCTCTACCAGTTTAAGAAATGTCCCTTCTCTACCAATTTTCTTAAGTGCTCTCTGATCATGAGTGGATGTTGGATATTATCAAAAGCTTTTTCAGCATCACTTGAGAGAATCATATGGTCTTTGTTTTTTAATTTGCTTAGGTGATGAATTGTATTTATAGATTTCTGTATATTGAACCACCCTTGAGACTCTGGTATAAAACCCACTTGGTCATGGTGTATAATTTGTTTGATGTGTTGGTGGATTCTGTTTGTTAGAATCTTGTTGAATATTTTTGCATCAGTATTCCTTAGTGATATTGGTCTATAATTTTCTTTCCTTACTGGAAATTTCCTGGTTTGGGGATCAAGGTGATGTTTTGCTTCTTAGAATGTACTGGGTAATATTCCTTCTTTTTCTTTTCTTTGGAAATGGTTGTGCAATATAGGTACCAATTCCTATTTAAAGGTTTGGTAGAATTCTGATGTGAAGTCATCTGGTCCCAGGCTTTTCTTTTTAGATAAATTTTGTATAGTTGATGCAATCCAGGAACTTGATATAGGCCTTTTCAACATTTCCACTTGATTCTGGCTAAATCTTGGAAGGTGGTGTGCTTCCAAGTACTGGTCAATTTCCTTCAGATTTTCATATTTTTGAGAATAAAGTTTCTTGTAATATTCTGAAAGGATTTTTTGAATTTCTGAGGAGTTAGTTGTTATTTCCTCATTACCATTTCTGATTGACGAGATTAGAGATTTATTCCTTTTTTCCTAGTTAGGTTAGCCAAAGGTTTATCTATTTTATTGACCTTTTCAAAAAATCAACTTTTTGATTTATTGATCTGCTGTGTAATTCTTTTGTTTTCAAGTTCATTTAATTCTACTCTAATTTTGGTTATTTCTTTTCTTCTACTGGGTTTGGGATTAGAATGTTCTTCCTTTTCCAGTTGCTTGAGATGTCCTATTAAGTTGTTAACTTCCTCTCTTTCCATTTTCTCTAGGAAGGCTTTCAGTGCTATAAATTTCCCTCTTAGGACTGCCTTTGCAGTATTCCAGAGGTTCTGATAATTCATGTCTTCATTATCTTTTTGTTCCAAAAATTTGGTAATTTCCATCTTAATCTCATCTCTGACCCATGTATCATTCAGCAAAAGGTTATTTAGCTTCCATGTTTTTGTATGAGCCTGCAGATTCCTGTTGTTACTGAGTTCAACTTTTATTCCATGATGGTCCAAGAAGATGCAAGGAATAATTTCTATTCCTTTAAATTTGCTGAGGTTAGACTTGTGACCTAAGATGTGATCAGTTTTGGAGTATTTTTCATGGGCTGATGAGAAGAATATGTATTCAGTTCTTTTAGGATGAAATGTTCTGTAGATATGTGTTAACTTCAAATGTTGAATGGTGCAGTTTAAATCTAAAATTTCTTTCCTTAGCTTTTTATTGGAGGATCTATCCAACACTGTGAAATGAGTGTTAAAATCTCCAACTATTATGAAGCTGGAGGAAATCAAGTTGCTCTTGTCTGTTAGAGTCTCTCTTATAAAATGAGGCGTGTTCTGGTTGGATGCATAAATGTTAATAATTGAAATCTCATTATGTTGAGTGTTACCCTTAACAAGTATGAAGTGATCTGCCTTATCTTCTTTACTTTTGTTGGTTTAAAGCCTATTGTATCTGTGAAAAAAATTGTCACCTCTACTTTTTTTCTGATTTCCATTTGTCTGAAATACAGATGACCATCCCTTCACCCTGGGTCTACATTTATCTTTTAAGGTAAGATGAGATTCTTGCATGCAGCAGATATCTGGCCTGAGTTTTTGTATCTAGTCAGCCACCCTATGCCTCTTTAGAGGACAATTTAAGCTATTCACATTAATTGACAATATTGATAAGCCTGGTAGAATCTTGGTTATTGAGTTTTTTGAAAGTACCGTGGACATTTTTAATCCTTTTACCACTGTGGAATTTGGAATTTGATGAAAAGTTTCTGAGTGAGTTTACTTTTGTAGTAGAGGACTGTGCTGATCATTATGGAGGATAGGTCTGAGAATATCCTGGAGAGCCGGTTTAGTTATGCCAAATTTCTTCAACATGTGAATGTCATTAAAGTATTAATTTCTCCATCATAAAGTAAACTCAGTTCAGCTGGATACAGGATACTATGTTGAAAGTTATTTTGTTTTAGGAGATTAAAAGATGACCACCCTCTTCTAGCTTCAAAGGTTTAAGCAGGGTGATCTGCTGTCATTCTAATATTTTTACCCTTGTAGGTTATGGTTTTCTTACATCTAGCTGCTTTCAGAATTTTCTCCTTCATATTATCTTTAGTGAAGTTATTTATTCAGTGCCGCCTGGGGGTTGTCTTATTCTGGTTGAGTCATGCTGGGGTTCTGAAACTGTGTGCTATCTGAACTTCAGAATCTCTTGGCATGTCTGGAAAGTTCTCCTTCACAAACTCATGAGGAAGCGCCTGTGTGCTTTGTAAAGCCACTTTGTCACCTTCAGGAGATCCTTTAAGGTGAATATTAGTTTTCTTCTAATTATCCCAGAGCTCTCTGAGAGAATGATTCATTTTTGCTCTCCATTTCTCTTCCTATGTGAGCACTTGGGAGTATTCAAAAGCTTGTCCTCAATGTCAGAAATCCTTTATTCTGTTTGTTCCACTCTGTTACTGAGGGATTTTACTGTATTTCTCAGATCTTTGATGGCTGAAAATTCTTATCTCAGTGTGTCAAAATCTTTGGTGATTTTGTTTTTGAATTCATTGAATTCTTGAGACAATTTTTGAAATGCTCCTAAAATATGGAACACTTCATGAATTGCATGTCATCCTTGTGCAAGGGCCATGTTAATCTTCTCTGCAACATTCCACTTTTAATAAATGTGCTGCTGTAGCAAGTACTTATTGGGCTTTAAAATGGAATTTTTACAATATTTTCTCTGACATACATTGTTGATTTTTTCAATTGAAAGACCATTTTATTTACTGGAAGCTATTGAAGTATAACATATTTGTAATCATTCAATCTTCTCTCTCTTATTTGTTAACATTTATCATCTTCCTCATTCAAGGAACATCTTTCTTCATTCTTAATTACTTGAAAAATCACTTTTGTCTTCCTAAAAGTTTTCACAATTCTCAATTAATTTGAAGTATTAGCATCTTCAATAATATTTGTAAAAAGTTTGTAATATCCCCTCTTCAGGTGATTTATGGCATTTTTCATTTAAATTCTTCCATTTTGGAGGCAGAGCAAGGTGGCAAATCAGAAAGAACATCATACTGAGCTCTGTGACAGCAACTGAAAAATGAGTCAGGTGGCAGATTTTGCCTGCAGCTATGACTCTGGTTGTGCTGTGAGGTGGCAGGATGCTTGCTGCTGTATGTGAACTGGAGCAGCAGGGTGGAGATCTAGGCAAGTCTTTTCTGGGCCGCTGGTGGGAGGCCCAGGCAGCAGCCCTTACTGGGATCTGCGGAGTTTGGGATGTGAGGAAGCCTTTTTCAGCTTTTGGTTCTGGGGGAAAGTGTGTTGATTGCCTGGAAAAGTGGGAAAATCCGAACAGTATATAGCAGCCAGGATTGAGGGCTGGCTGGAGGGGACTTGCCACCAGTTTGGCAGTTGTAGAGACAGCCCTTTTGGGGAGGTCCTGGCAGCAAGGGGTCAGACATTTTGGGGAGGTTGTGAGGCCAGGCTCCCTCCAGGAACATAGCCACTTTAGTGCTGCCTGCTAGGACCCATCCTCTAGTTGTGATAGGCTAAGGAGTTCCAGAACCCCACAAGAACTGTTGGCTGGGGGTATGGTGTAACCTGCCTCTGAAGGATTTAGGAGTCATCTGAGTTCCCAACCATGCAGAACTTGAATGCTGAGGAAATAACCAGTGATCACTGTGGACAATTACATTGGAGATCTGGTATATGCATGGGCTTCTAGAGAGAGGTTATCAGTGGTGTTGTCTGTCCCCTAAAATTACAGCACCACCTGATGTCCTGGCAATATTTTACAACACAAATATCTTCCTACTGAAGTCAAACTCTCTTGCCATATACATATACATATATAATTAAATTATATCTATGCATATATGTTATATATATTAAATTATATCTATACATGTATACATTATATATGTGTAGATATAACATATTTGTAATCTTTTAAATAGTTCCTTATTTTGTTTATTTTTTCTTTTTTTCTTCTTGTTAGTATTTTACCCTTTTTTAAAAAATTATTTTTTATTAAATCATAACATTGTACATTGATGCATTTATGGGGTTCAGTGTACTGCTTTGATATACAATGTGAAATGCTCACATTGAACTAAGTAACACTTCAATCACAATTATACTAATTTCTTAATAGTTTTGAAATGTATCATTGCATCATGCATGTTATGCGAGGTCCCCCCAAATGCCCTCCCTCCTCTCATATCTCCCCTTTCCTCCCCTTCCTCTTCCATTCTACTTTCTGGACTATAGTTATGTTTTGCCATTCATATGAAAGTGTTGGTGATTATATATTGATTTCATAGTAATATTGAGTACATCGGGTACATTTTTTTCCATTCTTGAGATACTTTACTAAGTATCCAGCTCCATCCAGGTAAAAATAAAAGATGTGAAGTCGCCAAATTTTTTTATGACTGCATAGTATTCCAAAGTATACATATACCACAATTTGTTAATCCATTCATGGGGTGATGGAAACTTGGGCTTTTTCTATGTCTTGGCAATTATGAATTGGTCTTCAATAAACATTCTGGTGCAAATGTCTTTGTTGTAAAATAATTTTTAATCATCTGGGTATAAACCTAGTAGAGGAATTGCAGGATCATATGGTAGATCTACTTTTTGTTCCTTGAGTGTTCTCCAAACATCTTTCCAAAAAGGTTGTTTTAGCTTGCATTCCCACCAGCAGTGTAGAAGTGCTCCCTTCTCTCTGCATCCATGCCAACATCTATAGTTTTGGCATTTTGTGATGTTGTCTAATCTTACTGGAGTTAGATGGTCTTTCTAACTGTTTTTGGTTTGCATTTCTCTGATGATTAAGGATGATGAGCATTTTTTCATGTTTTTGTAGGCCATGCCCCTATCTTTATCATAGAAGTGTCTGTTCAAGTCTCTTGTTCACATAGAAATAGGGTTATTTGTTTTTTTCTTATTGATTAGTTTGAGTTCTCTGTCAATTCTAGATATCAGACCTTTGTCAGAAGCATAACCTGAAAAAATCCTCTCCCATTCTGAAGGGAGAGGCTATGCAAAAGCTTATGACTCCCATTGGCTATGCAAAAGCTTATGACTCCCCTTGGCTATGCAAAAGCTTTTTAGTTTGATCAGATCCAGTAATGAATATTTTTTGTGTTGCTTCAGTTGGCTTGGGGGTTCTCCTTATAAAATATTATCCCAGGCCAATTTCTTCCAGTGATTTCCCTGCACTCACTTCTAGTGTTTTTATAGTTTTATATCTTAAGTTTAAATCTTTTATCCAGTAAGAATCAATTTTTGTTAACGGTGAAAGGTGTGGGTCCAGTTTCAGTCTTCTACAGCCAGTTCACCCAGCACCATTTGTTATATAGGGAATCTTTCCCAATGAATATTTTTGATAGGCTTGTTGAAGATAAAATGACTATAAATAGTTGGGTTCATTTCTTGGTTCTCTATTCTGTTCCACAAATCTACCACTTTGTTATTGTGCCAGTGTCATGCTGTTTTGATCACTATAGATTTATAGTATAACCTGAAGTCTGGTAAGGTGAAACCTCCTGATTTGTTCTTATTTTTGAGTAATGTATTTGCTATTCAAGGTTTTTTCTGATTGCATATAAAACAACTATTTTTCCAGGTATTTTTTGAAATCTTTTATTTTTATTTTTATTTTTTTATTAAATGATAGCTATGTACATTAATGCAATCATGGGGTACAGTGTGGTGTTTTCATATAAAATTTGAAATTTTTTCATCAAACTAGTTAACATAACCTTTATGTCATTTTCCTAGTTATTGTGTTAAGACATTTATATTATAAGTTCAGAAAGATTCACTTGCATCCTTATAAGATCAACCACAGAGGTGATTCCTCCAATTACCCTCCCTCCACCCATTCACCTCCTCCTGTCCCTTTCCACCCTCCCCATATTCTTAGGCTATAATTAGGTTATAGTTTTCATATGAAAGCAACAAATTAGTTTCATAATAGGGCTGTGTACATTGGATACTTTTTCTTCCATTCTTATGATACATTGCTAAGATGAGCATTTTCCAGTTCCATCCATGTAAAAATGAAGGAGGCAAAGTCTCCATCTTTCTTTATGGCTGCATAGTATTCCATGGCACATATATACCACAGTTTATTGATCCATTCGTGGATCAATGGGCACTTGGGCTTCTTCCATGATCTTGCTATTAAGAATTGGGCTGCAATAAATATTATGATACAAATATCTTTGTTGTAATGTGATTTTTGGTCTTCTGGATATATACTTAATAAAGGAATTGCAGGATCAAATGGCAGGTATATTTTTGGTTCTCTAAGTGTTCTCCAGATGTCTTTTGAAAAGGAATGTATTAATTTACATTCCCACCAGCAGTGTAGAAGTGTTCCCTTTTCTCCACATCCATGCCAGCATCTCTGGTTTTGGGATTTTG